TATATATATATATATATATATATATATATATATATATATATATATATATATATATATATATATATATATATATATATATATATATATATATATATATATATATATATATATATATATATATATATATATATATATATATATATATATGTATATGTGTGTGTGTGTGTGTGTGTGTGTGTGTGTGAAAATATCTAGGAGGGCTACTAATTCTGACTTCAACTGTGTATATAGTTGCAGTTATTCTCTGAATTGTTGGTTAAAACAAATCCTTTCATTCCTGGTGATTATGTATTCATTAACACCCACAAAACGCAAAAGGGAGCTGAAAGTTTCTACCTTAAGAATGTGATTAAATTGAAGAGCCCTCAGAGAAGGTTCATGTATCACCCCGAGATGCTCCTGATGTGCTAATTGGCTCCAGGAGCTCAAAAGGCTCCCAAACCGCTTTCATTTTCACATTCGGCTGCACTATTAGACACCCCCGTGATGTGCTGATGATGCCGAGAGTGTGTGTGATGCCACTTCAGCGTCAGGTGTCAGAAAACACTGCACCATCAGATTAAACACACAGATTTTTATTTACTGATAAAGCAATACAACATGGCAAAATAAATTATGAAAGAAACGTAGATTATCAAGCACTGAGTATTTGTAAGTTACACTAAAGGATGCTGTGATACATTGGTGTCTTTTCGCTAATGTTGATCTTTAAATAAACTGAATTATTAAAATGCACCAGATAAACTCCCAAATTTAAAGTGCATTTTAGTTATTAAAATTGTATTTAATAAACAAGCTAATTTATAATATATTAACATTCAGCAGTTTGGGGCAGCTGGGGATGATTTTTTTTTTGAAAGATACTTTATTTTTTGCTCATTTATGTTTGAAGCAGTTCCTTCAGGATTTTGAGAGATTAAAAAAAAAATAAAGATTTTTTTTTTTTTTACATTTTCAGATCAAAACAGATGCTTTCTCAAAACTATTTAAGCCTTCATAAAATCATTCATTTTCCATCATTTTAGGCTGCAAAAAATAAATAAAATAAATAACAAAAATAAAATATTCATTAAAAATAACATAATGAAAAATTATATATTTTATTTAATTTTATTTAATAATACTTAAGCTTATTTAAAATATACAACTATTCATTTAAAATTTTTTTTTTGCTCATCAAAGCTACATTTGTTTGCTCGAAAATTCAGTAAAATGTGAAATATTATTATTATTATGAAACACTATTTCTATTGTAATGGGTTATAAAATGTGACTTATTTCCACGACTCAAAGATGAATTTTCAGCATCATTACTTCCGTCTTCTTTTTTGTGATCAACGTTTTATTGTCTTTAGATTAACAAAATAAAAGACATTCAAACAAACAAACAGGGGAGGTGGAGCAACAGACATATCAACAATTTTCTATCTGAAAGAAGAGAAGAAAAGGAAAAAAAAAAACCTTTACATGGTCATTCCTTTATATAGGTTAAAATGCAGATAGAAAAACATAGCCATGCATTAATGGTGCTAGGTTTAGCCTTATTAATTTGTGCTATTGTATCTTAGGCCACTATTTTAAGGAGCCTCAGAATTCAAAATGTTTTTGCACACATGTACACAGTAAACCAATTTTGTATGACTGCCTTCTTTGCAGCTGTAAAACCAGCAAACAACATTATCTTCTTTAGTGTACTTAAACAGAAATTAGAATCTTCGAGAAGACATAAAGCAGGTTACTTCAATCTTCCGTCACGTGATCCTCCAGAAAGCATTGTAATATGCTGATTTGATGCTCATTATTATCATTTATATGAATAATTAAATAAAATAATATATAATCTCAATTGTTTTTGTAAAGTATAAAATAATAATTTAGGAAGTTCAAAACAATAGCACTTATTTGAACACATTTATTTGTAGCAATATTTTGAAATATGATAAAATGTCTTTAAAATCAATTTTAGTTTAATGTGAAAGCTTATTAATAGTAATACAACATCTGAAAAGGTACCCTTTAGATATTTAGTGGACTGTAATGAACACAAAACAACACAGGACAAAATGCTAAGTTTTTGTAATGGTCAGTGGAAATTTGTTTACTGCCCCCATTAAACTTTAAATTCAGTAATTTCTTAGCCACATATTTTAAATAACGTGCCAAAACAAGCCAACTCTATTTATTTACAGATATTTTAATTAACATAACTTTTCTTTAAAAAATACAAGTTTTAAAAACTAAAACAAACAAAATGTATGAACAACATACATGTAGGCATAAATGCAATACATTTATTTGTAGCATTATTTTGAAATATGATAAAATGTCTTTAATATCAATTTTAGTTTATTGTGAAAGCTTATTAATAGTAATACAACATCTGAAAAGGTACCCTTTAGATATTTAGTGGACTGTAATGAACACAAAACAACACTGCCACCTAGTGACTAAAACAAAGTCAGCAAGTCTAAAAACACCTTTTATTGAGACCAAATCTAAAAGAATAATCTTCAATCCTGATTGTGATAAAATAATTTAGATAGACGCAAGACTTCAATAAACATGTTTATTGAAAATTCAAAAACAAAAATGGTCTTATTTACCAAACATTGTAGGACAAAAAGCATGAAGCTCATCGGTTGTAAGGATGCATGGACGCAGACTTGATGTTAGTCTTGATGTTGCTGGGGATTTTACCTGTTGAAATGGAAATTGCAGAAATTAGCTTGAATATACAAGTGACTTTTTAAAAAAAAGGAACAGCTCAACTAAAATTGTGAATATTGCGACATCGTTTACTGCCCCTTGTCAAAAACTTATTTGAGTTTCTTTTTTTCTGTTAAACACGTAGATGTTTTGAAAAAAGTTGAAAACCGGTAACCACTGACTTCCATAGTTTTTGTTTTTCCTACAATGGAAGTCAATGGTTACCCATTTCCAACATTTTTCAAAACATATTTTTTAAAATGTTTAATAGAAAAAAAAATCTAATAAGTCAATGATTACCAGTTTCTAACATTTTTCAAAATATCCACTTTTGTGTTCAACAGTAAAAGAAACTTAAAGGCTTGGAACCACTTGAGGGAGAGTAAATAGTGAGTAAATGGTAACACTTTACAGTAAGGTTGTATTAGTTATTGTTAAAGTATGTACTAACATGAACAAATCCTGAACATTGAGTTTATTGCAGTATTTGTTCAATGCAAATTCAATTATTTATTGTTAGTGCATGTTAACTCACAGTGCATTTGTAGTTTAATGATGCATTAGTAAATGTTGAACTATGATTAATAAATGCTGTATAAGTATTCTTCATTATTAGGGTTTCTCCAGGTTTCACAAAGTCACATTTTAGACCATTATGAATGACTTCCACAGGACAAAATGCTAAGTATTTGTAATGGTCAGTGGAAATTTGTTTACTGCCCCCATTAAACTTTAAATTCAGTAATTTCTTAGCCACATATTTTAAATAACGTGTCAAAACAAGCCAACTCTAGTTCCATACAGATATTTATATTAGCATAAAACTTAAAAACTATAAGAAACTAAATGTAAGAACAACATATATGTATGCATAAATACATGGAAAACCTTTACACAAATGTTACTGTAAAGATGTAAGGAAGATAAATAAACCATATTGGTAAATCGAGTTAATTAATTTTATTTTTGTTATACGATTCTGGGTGGTACTGATTGGGTAGCTTTACACAGACAAAGGAAAATTAAGACCAATATTTAAGACCTACAATACCATATTTCAGTGAATTTAAGACTTTTTAAGGCCTAAAATTTAGTTTTTAAAAATTAAAGACCCCACAGACACCCTGTATTGGTTCATGTTAGTAAACACATTAGAACAGAAACCTTACTGTAAAGTATAGGTCTCGAACTTGATTCCTGGAGGGCCGCAGCTCTGCACAGTTTTGCTCCAACCCTAATTACACCCAGCTGATCCAACTAACCAAGGTGTTCAAGACTATTTAAGACTATTAAGCAGCTGTGAGTCCAAGGTGGTTGGAGCTGAATTATGCAGAGCTGCAGTCCTCCAGCAATTGAGTTTGAGACCACTGTTGTTAAGTTTGAGAGTAAGTTGGTATTTTAGTGTGAACTGTCCCTTTAAGAGTAAACTGTGTTTGTGACTGCATTTTATTATGTACCAGGTTGTCCGGGCTGTTGCGGTGCGACCGGTCCACTCATGCCAGCCTGATGACCCGAAGCTCCAGCGATTGTGACCTGCTGTAGTGTCGGACCCGTTTGCATCATGGGCTGCCCAGGGTGACCTGGAGCGACAGGTCCAGGCGGTCTGCATTTCGACAGACCCTTCCCAAAGCCCACTGCTGCCACCAGAGCGTTAGTATCGGCTGGATTGAACGACGGCTTGTTTTGTCTTAAAGCTAAACAGAAACATATTGTGAAAATCAAATGTAAAACAGACTAATACAATCAGTTGTGGGTAACACATTGCAAGTAACATGAGTTATGTGATAATATTATTTTTTAACCCTTCTGTACTGTTCAAATTGACTACACTTTGGTTATGTTGGTGACTCTTTTTGCCCCATTGACTTCCATTATTAATGACATTTTTGATTGCAAAGCCATGACAGCATATAATCCTGCATTCTTGATTGTTGGTGGTTTTCCCCGTTGAGAAGAGGGTACTATTTGTCATTTTTACAGTTCATCATCTGTTGGCAGCATTAACCCTTCAGATAGGCCTGTGCAAACAAGTTTCTGGCTTTTATATGGAGTTCTGTGGAGTAATACTGCAGATTATAGTGTTTGTGCATTAATACACTATTTATGCTTGCTGTGCTCTGAGAGCTGAGGGACTTATTTTGATTTTTTCAGACATATTAAGATAGATTGTACCTCTTTACAACAGGAAAAACCACAAACAATAAGAATATATGCGGTCATGGCTTCACAATCAAAACATGTGATTATAATGAAAGTCAAGGGGGCAAAAACAGTATTTTTAAAAATACATGTGGCTCAGTGGTACATGTATTTTAATGATGCATTAGTAAATGCTGAACTATGATTCATAAATGCTGTACAAGTATTTGTTTAGGGTTTCTGCAGGTTTTACTAAGTCAACATAAGGCTTTTTAGATGATTATGAATGCAATATCAGACTCACAGGATAAAACACTAAGGGTTTTTTCGTAATGGCCAGTGGATTTTTTTTACTGCCCCCATTAAAATTTATCAGCTATTTCTTAGCCACATATTTTAAATAATATTTTTAAAAAGCAAACTCATATATACAGATATTTTTATTAGCATAACAAAAAAAGATACCTAAGAATAACTGGGAACAAGAGTTGGGGATCACCATCAGTGAAATAGAATGAGATTATATACTCAATGTTTTTACATTGCTATTGTGTATGTGCTCAACACAGTTTAATGCAATGCAACCATAATGCAGAGCACACTATAATATGGCAGATTAGCCAAAATATACTCAAATAGATGTAATACTTGTAATAGGTTTTAACAATCTCCAGCAAACACACACACACACACACACACACACACACACATACCCACCTAACAAACCAATGAGGACACATGACTCAACACCCTACCTTTGGGGACTACCCTTTCTGAAGGGTCTAGAGACAAAAGAAAGACATGACTGCACTACTAAAAATGTGCTTATTATGAATATCAGTTGATATTTGCAAAAAAATACTTCTATAAAGACCTGACAAATTACCTTCAAAATGAGGACAGTATTTTATAACTCACCTTTGGGGACATGTACACAAACTCCGGTATAGTCACACTTTGAGGACCGCAGTTATACACAAACTCAGGTTAAAGTATACTTTAAGGACTCAGTTATCTGAATATTTCTAATATAATATTATTAATAATTATAATAATGTTAGTGCAGAGAGACATATGATAAAGTAAATAAGATCACTGAAAATAGACAATTACATTTTTTCCTTCACAAATAACTCAATCTGGTGTCAGAAGGTCATTTGGTGTCAAGTATTGTTCATGAAATGACATATTTCTCTCATAAATAGTATGTGACAGACAGCATGTTAGCAGAATAATACATACAAACTAATTTTAAAAAACAGTAAGGGAGAAGTAAATGGATGACCTTACAGTGAGTTTATGAAGCTCAATGGACACATTAATATCCAATGATATGAGAAGTGATGAAACTCTACTGATAAGTCATATGATGGTTAATATAGTACATCTAAAATCCATTCACACTAAAACCCATACTGT